CCAGCTTGGTGCAGAGAGAGGCTCATCCCCATGGAGTCAATCCGTGGGGTCTAGCCCCACAGCAAGGCACACTCCATCTCATTGATATTTTCACACCGACCTCCTCTTGGGGAAGCTAGACTTCATCCGCCATCCAACCTGTGCCACCGCAGACATTTCTCTCTAGTATTTTTTTTCCCCTTCTTACAAACGCATGCCTTTTCTCCTCTTTCCTAAATCCCTCCTCCTCCATCCCTCTCAGCCACCCTCATTACCTTAGTGGAAAATGCCACCTCTTCATCAAGGGGAACTTTTATTGATCTGTAATTATTTAAGGTTTTTAGTAGAAAGACTATAATTGTGTACTACTTGTCATTACATTTAAAAAAATTGATGTCACTTCTTTTACTACAAATGATGAAACATACAAGAGCATATGCAATATGCACAGAGCGGCCCCTCCTCGCCTGGTCGATGTCCCTCGCTGTGGAGGGCTCCATCCCACAGGGCCAAGCCCTCCCTGTGAACGGTAGGTCTGGTCCCTCCTCCCAATTCCACGAATTCCCTCTGGTCCTCTCTTATGTTATCAGCACTTCCCTTTGTAGTAAGTCATTTCTGCCAGTAAGCATCCTGGCAAGGTGTTATTTCTCCTAACAAAAAAGGACATTTCTCTGGACCCCATTTCCTTCTCCAGTGATAGCTATTTCCAGAAAGTATTGTCTTCCACCTTTCTCCCCCCTTCCTCTCTGGCTTTTGAGACCTTCACCAGCTCCTCTCAACACCAACCTCCCTCACCAAATCCATGATGCTCTCCAGCCGCCACCTCTGTGGCCTAGCTGTGCTTACACAGGTGTTCATTCTCTGCTCTTTTAAGAGCACCTTCCTTACTTGACTCCTCAGGCATTACACTCTCCTGGATTCCCTCCCGCCTCTCTGGACCCTGCCCCCGCATCTTCCCTCACCATCCTTTCTCCGCTGGCTCCTTTGACCCCCTGATCTGCAAAAGCTGCAGGACCCAAGGCTCAGTTCTTGCTTCCTTTTCCTACACTCATTCCTCTAGTGAGCTCATCCGCTCTCATGGCTTTACAGAATAAATTCCATCTAACTTAAGATCCACTATCAAGTTCAAGTTCCCCCATGGAAGAAAAAAAAAACACTGCCAATTAAACTCTTATTTCATCATTTGCAGGTGTCCCTGGACTGCCCTGGGGTTAGTGGTAATGCTTCTTGGCCCCAGCCCACTGTGCGGGAGCAGGATTCAGACTCTTCTCTCTATTCTTTCCTCCCAGTTCTCTTTACCACCCAGCTGGTGGGATCCTTATATGGTCTCAGGGAGGTATCACCTGGTAGGTGCTACAGTGAGCCCTGCCACATATGATTGTGCATATCATGGACTACGTAAATCTACTCTCTGGGGTTGCACAGTGTACAACCTGCACAACTATGTATTGTTGTCTGACTTCACCCATTTTTCCATATCTCTTTTTTTCTTTCTTCATAATGCCCTGTCCTAAACTTTAGAAACTTAAGAGTAAGAATGAGGCTCCTGAGTTCTGTGCGTTCTTCCCTGTCATCCCTGAAGCAGTGGCCATAGTCCTGGGCTTTGCTCCAGTTGAGCACCCCTTACCCCATCGGTGTGATTAGAGGTAGCCAGACCCTCGCTGACATAGGCCTGGGAGCCCATCCTGGAGCCAGTCATAGTGACAGAGGGTGACATTCCCTTGTTTTGCTTGGCCTAATCAAAGCTCTGCCCTGGGTATGGGGGTAGAGTCAATCCCAACCAAGTGTCACTAACAAGGGAGAGAGAGGATGAACGGCGGGCATCCATGGGTCTACTCCACGGGGTCAAAGGCAGGGGAGGTATTTGGGGGATGGAAGTGACTGGAGCCTGTGTTGAGGTCCACAGACAGGAAAAGGTTAAGGATGTTGGAGGGAAGAGGCCTATTTTTGATTAGGAACAAAATCCTAGGAAAGAAGTGAGGATGGAGTGAGGGGAGGTGCTAGATTTGCAACAAGGGGATGAATCCTCTCCTGGGAAAGAGGGTGGTGGGGAGACATGTTTGCATAAGTGATGGAAGGACCATGAGGGATGTTCCCTGATGCCCTCATGTCCCTGATTGGGAGGAGTGCTGTCTGTGCAGACATTGGTGGCAGGTACTTCTTGGGATGTGTCGGTGGGTAATTCTAACTGGCCGTCTCCATTAGTGAGAATTCTTACTGTTGTACGGGATAGGTCATTCCAAGGCTGGGATTTTGATTTACCTCTCAGATGAATAGAAAAAACATCTACCTTACACACATCTGCAGAATTGGGGAGAATATACCATGATGTAAGGGGATATATGTGCAAAGATTCTTTTAAAAGTTCTCTGTGGGAATTCACGTGGCCTGGTGGTTAGGAGTGTGGCTCTGACACCAGGCGGCCTGGGTGCCCATCTGGGCCCTGCAACCTTGGGCAGGCTCCTGGTCCTCTCTGTGCTTCAGTCTTTGCTAGAAAGTGGGGGATGACCTTACTCAGAGGGCTCCTTTGAGGGTCAGAAGTTGGAATACCTGTACATGTTTAGAAGAATGACTAACATCTAACAAATACTTTTCAATGTGAGCCATCGATATTTATAAGAATCCTATGACATGCTAGAAAGCACTGTCCTCAGACTGTGCACTCTTCAGGAGTGAAACTTCATTATTTTACTAATTCGATGAAACTTTTCCAATGCTATTTTCATTGGTGAAAGAACATGTGGATGTTTAAAAAGTGTTTCCATGTAGCCATATTCCAAGTGTCACCATTGTTTTCTTTCTGGTGGAATATGCAGAAATTAGCCAGTTGAAAGAGAACCCACTGTAGAACATTCTGTATTAACAATTATGGGAAGCAGTGCTACTGGTATGCCTTAATGAATGTTTTATTTATGAATATGCTGGAAATCGCCTCCCCCTTCCCACTAATATTCTCTCCCTACCTCCCAGCCCAAATGAGAAGAGCTCTGGATGGAAGTTCAATCAGGAATTAAGAGACAGCATTCATAGGATTATTCAGTGCAGCACTATATGGGGAGGACACAGTTGCAATGACCTTCCACAGTGATAGCTCAAATTGCTGCTTTGAGAAGAGGCCCGGCTTCATGTCGGAGGCCTTGCCCTAGAATATTCCAGAAGGCTCATTGTAACAGTGTTGCTGTGGAAGAAACCACTGCTAAAGTGATGAGGCCTCTGGCAGGGTCTTCCCAGCAGGAGGGTTGTGGCCGCCACTTGGAACCTACATTTCCCAACTATTTCAAATTTCTGTAATTTATTCCTGGTGATTTTTTTTTAATTGATATATTTTTTTTAGTTCCCTCCCAGGGATTAATGAGTTGACTTAATACAAGTCTTCATAAATAAAATAAAGTCTGGCTTTCTACATATAGGACAAAAATCACAACCCAGAGCCCCTACTTCAAGAGCCCTTGCAGACTCCTGGCGTCGGTGTGGATCTCCCATGGCTACTGGGTCCCCACAAGCTAAGAGATGTCTCTCAGGGATGACCTACGGCCTCGCTGAAGCCCCATCTTCAGGCTGTTCATGAGGCTGCTGACCCCATCCCCGTTCCCTGTTCTCCCCTAGAGAAAACACTGCAATGAATGGCACAACAAAGCTAGCCCTAAATTCCAGAAAACCAACAGGCTTTCCTCTCTCCTGGGGAAAAAAAAAAAAAAAAAAAAAAAACCTGCCAGAAATGAAAATATTTGGCCAGTTGGCACCCTGCAGCTTTCACAAGGAAGTCAAAGCACTTGGGCCTGATAGAAAATGCCCTGATTTTCCTGTTAAAAGAACCTAATAGAATACTGAACAAGTACTTATTTTCCCCCAAGACAAACCTCGCTGTAAATGGAAACTGGGTCTTCTGACCCCTCTGGGGTAAGGTCCACTGCACACAGATGCTCCTTGCCTGGGTCTTCTGTCTTCCGACAAAACATTGTTTCCTTATTCTCTCTATATCCTTTAGGGGTCTCAGATAGGCACTAAGTCAAAACGTGTCTAAGAGCATCAGTGTTCATGCATGGCTTTGCGTGTGTGACCTTCCAGAAACCATGGCCATCCTAATGCAGTCACAGCCGCCCTTCTGGGCTTCTCGGGAGGCGTGGATCCATCACGTGGATCCTGCTCTCCTCCATAGCCTCTCATAATTTAAAAATGCAAGAAGCTGTGGAAGACTGCCCCACCCGCGGTATCATTCCAGAGAAAACCGGGAGGCAGAGGCTACTCTCTGTCCTTGCCTGTTAACATTCATCAACAATCTTTTAAAAGTTCGATTGCTACACCTTCATTTCATTTCTTGGGATTTTAAATATTCATCTCTGGTGAATTCTTGAAGTCTGAAAGACGGATAGAAAAGATTTTGGAAGTCCACTTAATCCCCAAAGCAGAGCACACACCCTGCTCATAAACAGCTTTGAAGAGATCCGGATTTTAGATCCCATGATCTGTTATGTCAGAGGAAGATATGCAGAAGAAAACATGCCCTGAAATCAGTCTTGCCAGGGCAAAAGACCCAACCTCCTTAAGGAATGAGACCATATTCCATTCTCCTCCCTTCCCTGAAATGCCTTGAAACGAGCAAGTGGTTCATGGGAGCTGTGCAAGATATTACAAAATTGCAGTGTATATTTGAAATTCAAATGCACCTGAGATTCATGCATTTTGTTGTCCTGCGGTTCACATCTCCTAAATAAAACATTTCCCCTGTGTAGGCGCTCCCGGGGGCTCCACATGAGGTCAGCGTTTGGGTGGCTTTGCCGGGGTCAGAAGACTGTTCTTCCAGGAAGGGCTGCAGAGACCCTGGGAACGGGACCAGCCCAGCTCACAAGTATGAAGAGAATGTCGGAGAGGAAGTGGTGGCTGTGAGTCAGCATGAGTCATCTCGTTCCAATGAGAACGAAGACTGAGGTGTGCGCCCTTTTTTTTCTTTTTCTTCTTTTTCCTCTTTTTTCTTTTCTTCCTCCCCCCCCTTCTCTCTTTCCTCTCCCTCTCTCTTTTTTTTTTTTTTTTTTTTTTTGGTCTCAGCCACGGGGACATGTTCAGGAATAGAGGGGAATAGTGACTGGCTGGCTGTTCTGAGCCGGGGCTAGTATTCCAGGCCGGCTGTGCCTGAGCCCGTGTGTGCCCCAGACCTTCGCGGCTCGGCGGCTGGAAGGTGGAGCCAGCGGCTTCTCCCCGGTGAGTACGTTCCTGTCATTTTTACGATCATTTCTACTGTCTGCCTTGGAGTCTTGGATGGGTTAAAGCTGTTACATCTTGGAGGGGGTACTGCACTTGAGACTTGGGGGATCCCTAATTTTAGAAAGTTGCTTCCTCTGCCCCCACCCCCAGAGCTACTGTGCGGTAGCCTGCTGTCTCGGTGGTTAATGGGGAGAATGTCAATCCTCGTGGTACATTGTGTTTGTCCCGGCAGAGACAGGGATGCTGGGCTGGAAAATAAGCTGTTCCAGACTCGTCTCTGGAGCCATGGTGAAGTTGAGAGATGGAAGTGGGTGAATTGGTGCTAACCCAGGGGTGCTGAGGCTGGGCCAGCTTCCGCTTCTCAGAGGTGGAGGAAAGACAGCCCCTGAGAAATTTCTGGCCGCATGGTCTGAGCTGCCCAGTTTTTAGTGCAAGAAAATACAATCGAGAGGCAGAATTTTGGCTTCCCTGTCTACGAGCCTATGAATGATTCTGGGAACTTATTTTATGTCTTGTCTTTTCACTTGTGACTGAATGTCACAAACTGTGGTAAAGTCAGAAAGAAAGTTTGTGAGGGGCCAGGGGGTTGGGGGCCGGGGGGCTGGGGGTCAGGACTGGGTTGTTGAGTCCTTAAGGCCTGATAGGACCTTGATAATGTGTTTCTCAACCTGTTACTATTCTGATGAGGCTTAGCTTTACAGTCAAGTAAAATACAGGAAACATTTTTTTTAAATGTCATTCTAGTTACTGTAAATGAAACGGTTAAAATGTCATAAATACTTTGTGATAAACATTTTTTGAATTTGCTTAAAAACCTGCACCTCAGTAAGCAGGGTATGACAGGGAGCTTTTTCAGTAGAGTCATTTGAGTGTGTGGGCTTTCTGGGTTAATAATGAGTCAGCACCCGATTTCTAAAATTGGAGCTGCTCTAAGAGAACAAGCGATCTGCCCCCGAGCCCAGCACGGTGGCTGGCTGGCCCCTCCAGGAGGATCTGACTGTTTGGTCTTTGGTTAAAATCAACTCTGAGTACCTCCCTTGTGTGGTGACCCCCTCCCGGCTCCAGTCCCAGCTCTTGTGTGTGCGCCTGCGAGGCCCCTTTGCTAAGGGGTCCCTCTGCCAGGACCCTCCCCTTCGGCTGCTGTTCATTTTTAGGGCCTGCCTTGACAGAACTGGTTAAGCCTACAATGTTAAATTACAAATCCAGAGTTTATGGAGGGCTGGGATCGCCCAGGGTTGAAGTTGCAGCTTGTGTCCCGTGACGTCACACCTGCTGAGGGATGGAGTGGGCGCAGGGAGAGGTCACGGCCTGAGCTTTGAAGCTGGCATTCCGCATGTTTCACACAGCGGCGGGGGTGGGGGGGTGTGTGTGCGTGTGTGTGCCACCTTAACATCAGAGCGCAGGATTCCAAGGAAGAAAACCTCCCTTTAACCTTACTCTTCTTATAAACGGAGAAGAATGTTATGAAAAATTAAAAAAAAAATAGCTGGAGTTGCAGGCTGGTGGCTCAAAGGCCACATGTGGTCCTGTTTGAATCCACCCTCAACCCCCTCAAATTCTGTTAGCCTGCCCAGGATTGGTGGTGGTTTGGTTTTTGTTTTGTTTTGTTTTTTGTTTTTTGTGTTCAGATGACTATGGGGTCTCCTATTCTTTGGATCATGGGCCCTGTTGAACCCTAATGTGTGCAAGGCTCTGATAGCCTGGGGCTTCCGGACCGTGGTTGCTGCCTGCCTCGGACGGCCACTGGGAGGGCTCAGAGAGTTAGCATTTGCCAAGTGCTTCCAACAGGGTCTGGGCACAGAAGAGACCCCCTCAGTGTTAGCTCTGTCTGCCTCCCTTCTTACCTGGACTCTGAAGGCATCTGGGCTTGTGGCCCCTGAGTTAGTGGCATGACTTTCCCAAGCAAGATCTTGTGATTTCAGTGTAATCAGTGGCGGTTCCAAAGCTGAGCATCTCAGGACCAACTTGGGGCCTCAGCAAGGCAGACAATAGGGGTTTCCAAGGTGGGAGCCCAGCCCAGTCTGTCTCTCTTGGTGAGTAGTCTTTGTAAGCGCTCGGAGAAATGCCATCTTCCTGGAGAGAAGAGCCCAAAAAGGTAAAATGCCCTAGGCAGTGCCTCAGTGGTTTGGGCACACTAGCACCCTCTCTTGTCCCCATTTCAGAGAACATGCCAGGTGTCAACATGTGTTCCTCACCGGGTCCTGAGTCTTCAAATCCCCCTGGATAAGTGCCGTTGGGAAGTAGTTTTGAAGTGGTTGATTTTATCGTAGACATTGATTGTATTCTTTCGTGTAGAATTCGGGCAGTGGTATGAACGCTGGAAGTCAATTTACCGCTTACCCATGAGAAATAAGCCTGTGGCGAACTGATATGATCACTTTTATAATCAGGAGAGTCATTTAAAAAGGCCAGAAATAAGACCCAGGCAGGTCTGAAAATAGAGCATTCATTAATATGATTTGCTGCTTTGTCATATTTTCCAACTACCAAAAGATGCTGATTCTAAGTGAGGATGCAGGCAGGGAATAAAAAGGGAAACCATCGACAAGAGAAAACAGAGCAGATGTTTTAAAAGGACACCTGCAGCAAAAAGAAAATGCTGACAGTCTGATGACACTCAGAAATGGCCCAGTGCCCTGTTGTCATGGCGCCCTCAGCTTCGAGACTGGCCTTTTGCTTGCTGGCCCTGTCTCCCACTCCACACCGTTCATCAGCACCCCTATGCAGGCTTTCGTTATGTCCTGCCAAGAGGTTTTCGTGGTACCTGACAGGTGCCCCACCACCCATTGCCATACAGAGAGCTCACCCTCACATTGAGCAACTTAGCTTCCTGATGTCCCACCTTCCTCACTGTGAAATGGAGTTAATAATAGTACCAGCCTCTTGGGTCCTTGTAAAGATCAGTGATGATGAGCACACCAGTTACAAGCTATTAAGTACACAGTCACTGATTTGGACATACACCCAGACACCTTTCCGTCTCAACCTGGGCCCTGGGCCCTGGGGGCACCCGTAAAGAATTGGCTCTCGTGCTTCTGAAGTGAGATCCCATCTGTGTCATGTTCTGCATTTGCAAGACGTCTGTTGATTAGGTAAATGGGAAATGCTTCCTGGTTTTCTCCAGGAAGACCCAGGGTACTAGATGTTGTCACCGACATCGAGGTTATCATGCTTTCTCTTGCCAACATCATCACAGTGAGGACAGCTCCCCTCGCCCTCAGCCCAACCACATGGTAGTATCTTTCTGTGCATTTCCTTTAACCCCCAGCCCCTGACGCACACACATACCCACCCTGGAAGATAGGACGGACGGCCAGTTGCTCAACTTATTCGAGGTGCACGCGTCCCAGGCCGGTGAATCAGGCGGAGTAGCTGCTTTGAGGAGTGCGTGGCTGAGGGGGGCGCCTTTGCCTCCATCAGGAGAGGAGAGTCAGGAAAGGCAGGGGACCAGGAGAGTGTTGTCTGTAATCCAGCAGACTGGGACCACCGGCCCGAGAATCCAGGACCACTGGCCTCAGACCAGCTTCGGGGGTGGAAGCAGCTGGACGCTGTACCCATGCTTCCTGTCTAAAGGCAGCTACAGTCACCTTCTGGTTGTTTGAGAATCAGCCTAGTATAAGGAGCTGACTCATATTGAAAATATTAAGTAAGATACACTTAAAACTAAAACCAGGCTGAGCATAACGTGGCCTTTCCTTGCCGATTCTGAAGATATCCAAGATCATGCAGGGCCTCAGAAGCTAAATCTTCACATGCATCCTGTAGGGGTCCGAAAGTAGTGCCAAATGTGTCCCTTTGTTCAGTCAGCCTTCTCTGGTACTGCACTGCCAACATAAAGCATCGGGGGCTTTATACATCTCCTTTCTGAAAGTCAAGGCTTTGCACGCTGAGCATGGCTGTGTCGTGTTGGCCCTTTATAAATGGTGCCACTTTGTGGGCAGTTCTGTCCTGCAGCTGCTACCTGTCCCCAAACCCAGAGGACCCTCTCCGCTCTCAGTGCCGTGGCAGGGCAGTCATGTGCTTGGCCCGGTGCTGTGGGGCAGAGCTTGGGCTCCTCACAATGTCAAGAGGGTTCTGGTTAGACCCCAGAGCTCAGGCGAGGGGAAGCCAACAGTGGATCAGAAGGAAGTTGGGTCTGCAGGAAGGAGGAGTGGTGGGGAGGCTTGTTTGGTCTCAGATGATTCCTCTGATTAAAAAAAAAGAGAGAGAGAGAGAAACACGCAGTTTTCTTGCATTTCGTATACGAGAGAAAAGCTAATGGCAGTGGCAAATCTTATCCATTGTGGTTCTCCTGCTTATCCTTTGCTTTGAGGTTCGATTATCCTGCAAGGAAGGGTTTCTGCCATGGAGGCTTTTAGCCTTTCCCTCCACGCTGCCCTTTCAAAAATGTATCATACTTAAAATACTATTTCTAGCAAAGGCATAAAGGCATCATTTTAGCTGTTCTCCCTGGACAAGTCATTTATAGAGTGTGAGAGGGATGCATTGGTTTCTATCAATTTAGGCAGATATAAAGGAAAACCTTACAAAATAGCAGTGCCTCCCTCAACTGTCAAGCTTACTTTCTCTCAGACGGAAAAAGACTGGAAGCAGGCTGTCCAGGGCAAAGTTCATTGGCCAGCCAGTTCATTCATCTCTCTTCTCTGCATTCCTTAGCAGTGGCTTCCTTCCTTAAAGTTGTCTTACGGTTTTAACAAAGCTGCTGGAGCTCCAGCCATCACCTCTGCATTCCGCACAGGAGGAAAGAGGAAAGTGGGGGACAGAAGTCTAAGCATCCTAGGTGTCAGTCTCCTTTAAAGAGCTTTCCTAGAACCCCCAAGTAACCCTTTCTGCCTACATCTTTTATTGGCCACTGTATCTGTAAAGCAGCTTGGGGAATGCAGTTTTTTAACTAGGCACTTTGCAGCCCCGACAACTTGGGGGTTGTTGACAACACAGGAAGTAGAGGAGAATGGATGTAGGATAGGCAACAAACAGTCTCCACAACAGAGTGCTCC